TGAGGAACTCATTCTTCTAAAGGGCAACAGTGTGGGCTTGAGAGTGCAGTCAAGAATAGACACTGTGTTTGATACATAAATCTCACCAAGTATAGAGCAAAAGGTTGCCACAAGCTCTTTACTCAGTCATACTTACCCAAGATGCATCAAAAATGTAGCCACTCCCCTTCCAAGACTGAGACTCAAGGGGAATTCACAAGCAGACATGTGGTCTTGCTGACCACATTGGTCACCGATAAGGAGAAGTGGGGGAAAAACAGCAAGGGAGTTGTGAGCTAAGTCTGACCATGTTCTATAGACTCCTGTCAACCTGAGTTGGTAGTATGGTGAGACCTGGGGACTCCTGGGCCCAGAGACAGGGACATGGCCACAGAGGACTAGAGTGTGAAGTATCCAGCTGATATGAAGTAAGGGGAGATGCACAAGAACACCCATACTTGCATATAGTACCCACTTGACCTGGCTTCAATGGCTGGATGATCAGAACTCGACTAGAGGAAGAAAGAAGAGATAAAAAAAAGAGTAATCTGCTACAACTTGATGAACTTGACCTATACTTATGGATGTAGTAACTCAAAAGAGGGGACAAACCTTTACAGCGAGGATCATTCCCACCACCTCAGTACACAGGGTTGACAGGGATGGGCAACTTACACATTGGATACCCAAAACAGGGGGTACAAAAGCAAGAAGTAACTGGCTTACAAACTTTCAAGAGGGAGCCTAGTTTCAGAGCGTGCAAGGGAAGGTAGAATCTCCACTGAGTGGTTTCCAATCTGTCTTAGACAGGGCTGATGAATGGAGATGGGGATAAGACTCTCGTGGTTCAATAGTGAATAATTGCTATCAGGACTGACTGTGAGTGTCAGAAATGTAAAAGTAGATGTTTTGTACAAAAGGAGGGGAGTGGTTGACTTTGCAGTCCAGGAGTGAAGGTCCCTGGGACCATCAAGGGAGAAGAGCAGAGTGTGGAACCCTATCCAGACAAACAGTGATGCTAGAGACGGAGGCAGAGACGAAAACGTGGAGAGATGGAGCAGCTGGGGACTCTGGACTTAAGGTGAGAGAGGGTCTGTGTGCTGATGGCCAAGGGACAGGCTTGTGAGGTATATACCCTTTGGTTGTTTCATGATGCATGGAGGGGATTGTAATCATTGCAACGAAACAAAATACAGTAGGATGAATTTGTAAAGCTATAACGTTCTCTCATGTAAACTATCACTTAATTCACAAAAAAGACTTAAAAAAAAAATGGGGGCAAAAGGAATTGACCAATGGAGGCATAAAATGATAAACTGATGTTAAGGGTCAGTATACAATCTTAGACAATTGTGTGTCCTAATCCATGAACATACTCATTGTACTGACATAACTGTAAATTTTGGAAAATAAAATACGATTACTTAGAAAAAAAATAGTAGCCACACTACCCAGATTTCTGTTTCCAGGGGCCATCTTTCTAGTGGTCAGGGACGTCACAGTCAGTCACTTTAAGGAATCTTTGATTTAACACATATGAAATCACACAAAGTTGAAATGTTTGTATTTTTATTACCATGGGGCTTCTTCCCCAGGCCTCTTGTATTAAGCAGTGTCTTTTGTCTTTTCACATAAAGAAACACAAAGATAGAACAATCCTTGAAAAGAGGGTCAAGTCTTACTCAACTCTGCAGCAGTTGCACAGCTTTGCAAAATACCTTACACAAAGGAGATATTCAAACAGTTTAAAAACTGAATTCAAAAGAGGTGAACAAGTCCCTTTGACACTGCAGATCTGGAAAGGGGAATTAATAAATCTTTTTGAAATAACCTAAGTATGTCTCTTCTTGAGAAGGAGAAATGGACAACTGAAAAGGGAAAAACAGAGTAGTTAAGAGTAATGGGAAAGGCTCAAAAGTGTTCTTGGTTGATGTACATTAATGTATTCAGAGGCTACGTCATAAGACATTATAACTTACAAAACCTAGAAAACAGGAACAACCCAGTATAAAGGCTGGATCTGTGGGAGACAAAGGGTGCATTCACCTTCTGAGCACTTACCCTTCCATTAGTGTGGGTACATTTAAAATGCTCCAGAGGGAAATTCAACACTGCACAGCCCAGGCCGCATGAATGTTACAAGAGACCTGTACCCCTAGATGAGGAACGTTTAACTATTTTATTTACATTGTAACCTCATGTAAAGTTTCCAAATGGCTTCATGATAGCTGTATGTTTATAGGCTAGCATAGATTTTGGAATTTACAAAAATAAGGCTTAAACAAGCATTGGTAAAAATTAAAGTCCCATCACAGACGAAATGGAGTCCTGGTGTGGCGCCACAGGATAAGTACTCAACCTCAAGGTTGGTTTGAACCACAAAGTTAATGGTTCAAATTCACCAGCTGCTCCTCAGAAACCCCAAAGAGGGTTGCTATGGGTCAGAACCAACTCAACAGCACTTAATAACAACAATCATAAAGGAAACGGTAACACATTAACAAAGGTCATGCTGAGTAGTCATGATGCCCTATAAAAGCATAAAGTTTTCAAAGAAATAGAAAATCATGATGCTAAATATTTTTTAATTGGATCACCATCAAAAAACAAATGGATAAACAAAATGTGGTATAAACGAGCGTGAATCAAAAATTATTGCTACTAGGACTCCAGTTCATATATATATATGTGTTTATTCCAAACAATATGTGTTTAAACATGTCCCTGCAATCAGTGGATGTCTGAAGACAAGTTTTCTCAGTAATGCATGTGACTTAATATCATTAGAGTGCCTTCAAAAATGAAAGTCCAATCAAAATTGCAGTTCCTAAGGGGATCTGTTTGGATCAGTTAAATTCAAGGCAGAGAAGTCAGCTCTGAAGGTTACGGTGCTTGGTTCTTGGGATCTCAAAGGATAATCCTGATATGTTTTCCCAAAGGACACAGAAGAATCGTAGGGGCTTATTAAAAAGACATTTTAAGAAAACTGAAAACTGAATTGTTGAGAAAAAGACCAGGAAAGTTGTGGCAAGGAATATTTTTGCCTCACAACAATGCACCTACTATTCTTGGGAGTAGCATTCTTGTTGGGAAGCCTTACCACACTACAGCCCTGATCTCGCCCCTTCAGATTTCTTTTTTGTTCCCCAAACTCAAAGAACATTTCAAAGGAACCCAGTTTGAGTTCCTTGAGGAGGCTATTTGGACATGATTTAAATTGAAGCGCGCAGAGTTCTTTGGGAAAGAGGTACAGATGTGGACACACTGCCTTTAGAAGTGTACACACCTAGATGGAGAACATGCTGAAAAATATAGCTTCACATTTTGATATTTTTGTTTATGAAAGGCTTCAAAGATTTTGTAGCAATATTATTTGACTTACCCTCATACATACAATGAATCATTTATTCAGCTATAAAGAACAATGAAGTTCTGAGACACACTAAGAAAGGATGAGCTTTGAAAAATAGAAGCCAGATTCTAAATACCACAAATTATATCATTTCATCTATATGAAACATGTAGAACAGACAACCTCACAGAGATAGAAAGCAGATTGTTGTTGTTGTTGTTGTTGTTGTTATTACTAAGTGCCATTGAGTTGTTTCAGACTCACAGTGACCCTGTATGAGGTTTCCAAGGAGCATCTGAACCACCGACCTTACGGAAGGACTGGGGGAGAGTTCTGGTATGGTGATGTCAGATAAGCACGCCGTTCCTTGGGAACCCTGCACGGGGTCACTATGAGTCAGAACTGACTCGTGGGCAGAGTTATTAATATGTTTTCCAGGCACATGCTCTTAAAGTCTCCAGTGGGAAAAAATCTGGTCCAGAACAAAAAAACACTAATGAGTTCTGTGACATTTTTCCCTCCTTTCCCATTAAAATTCACTTTTAGTGAATTTAATGAATTTAATGAAACTAAGAGATCATTGAATCAATTCCAACGTACTAAGAGATAAGATAACTTTTATAAGAGATCCTCTAGAATAGCAAATGAGTCAATATGGGGCCTGACTATACATTCAGATTTTCTCTAGAGCTTTTCTGGTTCAATGTGAACCATATTCTATGCTATCCCAAATGAAAAGACCACACAGAAACTCACAAATCAAGGTGGGCTCCTCTGGCTCACCAAAGGCCTGGAGTCAGCTAAACAATGATGTCCATGTTAGAAATGGCTCTGGATGGTGGTTGTCTAGGACTACAGATGGTAGAAAAAATTGGGACTGACTTGGTAACAGGTAAAATGTTTCTTTTGTGGGGTAATGAAAATGTTCTAAATTTGAAGGTGGTGATGGGTACACAATTCTATGAATACACTAACCACACTTTAAACAGGTGAATTTTAAGTTATATCAATTTTATCTCAGTAAAGCTGTTATTAACTATTAGCAGCTAACAAGTTAGTCTCAGAAATAGCTTGGGCTGCAGACTGTCATTCCCTAGAATGGATCTAGGGGTGGTAATAACAGCAGAAAAAAATAGTGAACATTTCTTAATAGATGACTCAATGGCACGTAACAACCACAATCTGCTTTCTCTCTCTGTGGAGTAGTCTGTTCTACATGTTTCATGAAGATGGAATCATATAGTTCTTAACATTTTATGTACATTACTTTAATCCTCATAAATCCTATGAAGTTGCTACAGTGGTCTCCATTTTGTCTAAGAATTTACCAAATAGACATTACATTACTTTTGAAACAACTAAATTGTTATGCTACCTGCCGGCTATTACCCTGAAAAACATGAAGGAAGCAATGATTTCTGTGAAATCAAGATCATTACTACCAATACCCACCACCATCTAAACAACTCAATAGTTATCACACTAAATGTCTGACATTTTCCTTACAACCGATTCCTCTTTCAAGATATTAGCATACTATTAAAAAGAAGACAAATGGATGCACTCTTTCTAATAAGATTCTAAAGAAAAGGAATCAAAACTAAATGAACACCTAGGGATGCTTTTGGGCACCTCTCACTTGAAACAAAGCAGCATTCCAGAAACACACCTGTTGGAGCCATCTTTCATATGGACTTTGGCATAAAGAACGTCCACCATTCCAGGATCATCGTTCATGTATTCTATCCCTGCCATCTCTGCTTCCAGGGGTTTGCCCTTAGAAATATTGCTGCAAAGGAAAAAGGTAAAATATTTTTTTATAATTGTTTAAACTAAGACAGCTATTACATTTTGAAACATGGTTAAAGTCCACTGTAATGTAATAAGTGAAGTTTTTTAAAAAACATTATGAAGAAATGTTCACAATCACTAGCCATTGTTGTTGTTGTTAAGTGCCATCGAGTCAGTTCCGACCAATAGCGACCCTGTATGGGGTTTCCAAGGAGGCTGGTGAGCTTGAACCACAGACATTTCAGTTAAAATGGCTTTGCAGTCTGGAGGATTAACCTACAGCACCACACTAGGACTCAGATGTAAATCAAAACAACAATGAGATATCATCTCACACCAGCAATAACAGCAAAGATCAAAAAAGTAGAGGACAATAAATGCTGGCAAGGATGCGGAGAGACTGGGACCCTCCTACATTGTTGGTGGGAATGCAAAATGGTCCAACCACTCTGGAAAGCAATATGGCGCTTCTTCAGAGGTTATAAATAGAAATAGTTTATGATCCAGCAATTTCTCTACTTGGTATTTACCCACAAGAAATACGAGCCATAACACGAGTTGATATATGCACAACAATGTTCATAGAAGCACTATTTACAATAGCAAAAAGATGGAGACAGCCTAAATGCCCATCAACGGAAGAATGGATAAACAAACTGTGGTACATACACACAATGGAGTTATTATGCTACCTTGAATAACAACAAGGAAGCTGTAAGCTACCACATAACATGGATGAACCTTGAGGACATTATGTTGAGTGGAATTAGTCACAAAAGGAGAAATACTGCATAGCACAACTACTATAAAAGACTAAAAAAAAAGCACCCATACTAAAGGGGGGGAGGGGGATTCTTTGCTGGTTACCAGGATGTAGGGGGTGGGGTGAGGGGAGGGAGGGGAAGGTGGAACACAGAGTAGGGAATAGACACAGGATAGTTTGGGTGCTAGGGAGGGGGGCAATACACAAGAATGGGGAAAGGAATGGAAGAAGAAGATAAATGGTAAACAAATTAGGCAGATTTGCATGGGCTAAGTGGGACAGAGTTAAATAATAATGTATGCACAACCTCGGAACAAGAGTGCTCTGGGATACAGGGATTGAGACATGGTTGGAATGGGCAAAAGGGGGAAAATAATGTTAAGATGCTTGGCTGTCTTTTGAATTTTAATTTCCCTGGCATACCATTATAAAATAAGACACTTGAAGGGGAGAGAAAGGAATAGCCAGAAATATCACCATAGAAATGCGTCTTCTGCCTATAACTGATTGGAATACCTAAAATGGGACTACAACATGCCCAGAGAAGAAGGCTTCCTGAGGAGCCTCTGTATTACATAAGAGGATAGGTAGAATCCTGAACCGCATCCAGAATCTTCTGAGGTGGGAAATTTCCATTTGAAGGTTAGGCAGACCAGCCTGGAGTGACTAGGACAGAAGATACTTCTTGAAAGAAAGACCGACAGGGAAAATACAAAACAATAATGGCAGTCCAATTGATTACTACAAGAACAAGCAAGTTGCTCGCCCAGGACACATCAAGGCAAGTGGTCAGGTCTCCTCAGGGCAAACTCCCTTCCAAGACTAAGACTCAAGGGGAATACACGAGCAGACATGCTCTCTGATTGGTGACCACATGGGTCACCAATAAGGGGAAGTGAGGGAAAAACAGCAATGAAGCGGTGAGCTAAGCCCTACAATGTTCAATAGACTCCTGTGGACCCAAGTAGAGACCTGGTTGGCCAGCAGTGTGGCAAGACCTGGAGACTCTTGGGCCTAGAGTCAGTGACATAGCCACAGAGGACTAGAGTGGAGAGTGAAGCGTCCAGCTGATAAGAAGAGAGGGCATATGTATAAGAACATCCACACTTGCAGATAATTCCCACTCAACCTGGTTTCAATGACTGGATGATCAGAGCTCAACTAGAAGAAAGAAGAGGAAAAAAACAGTAATCTGATACAATTTGATGAACGTGACCTACACCTATGGATGCAGTAGCTCAAAAGAAGGAACAAATCTTTACTGCGAGGATCATTCCCACCCCCTCCATACACAGAGTAGACAGGGATGGGCAACTTGTATACTGGCTACCCAAAATAGGGGTGCTTCAAAGGCAAGAAGTGACTAGCTTACAAGCTTTCAAGAGGGAGCTTAAATCCAGGGGGCTTGGAGGAAGGTAGAAGCTCCACTGAGCAGTATCTAATCTGTCTGGGCGGGACTAATGACAGGAAATGAGGATAGGTCCCTTGTGGACAATGGTGAATAATTGTTATCAGGACTGACTGAGAAGGTTGGAAATGTAAAGGTAGACGTTTTGAGGCAAAAGGAGGGGAGTGATTGCAGTCCAGGAGCCAAGGTCCCTGGAAACATCAAGGGAGAAGATCCAGAGTGTGAGACCCCATGCAGAGAAGCAGTGACGCCAGAGATGGAAACAGAGAAGATAACACGGAAAGATGGAGCGGCTGGGGACTCCAGCCCCAGAGAGGTAGAGGGACTGTGTGCTGCAGGCTTGCAGGGTACACCTTTGGTTGTCTGATGATGCATGGAGGGGATTGTAACCATGGCAATGAAATGATATACAATAGGATGAACGTAAAGTTAATGTTCTTCCATGTAAACTAACACATGATCCACAATAAAACATTTGGGGGGAAAAATAACATTATCCAAATTTTTCTTTTAATTTCAAAATGAATATTCAATGCAGTCCCCCTAGAAAACACAGTATTTATTTCCAAAGTCACACTGCACTTCTCCCAATGCTAGTTTATGATCACTCTAACAGGAAAAGCTAAAGGTTGACAGCTGTCATTGACAAAGACATTAACTGTGTTGGCCCCTTTCAGGTCTTATTTCACTGTTTCTAAAAGTTACCAACAGTATTCCACTCATAGACCAACAAGGGAGGTGCAAACTGGTACATCTTTCAAAGTCATTTGACAGTATTTTATAAAAAAGGCTTCATGGACCCAAACCCTTTGCCCAAGGAATTCCATTTCTATTAATCATCCTAAAGAAACCACTATGAATCCAGCTTTACAACCAAATTAGCTGATGAAACAAATTTTTTCATTGAGGGACTTTTATGTTAACAACAAAACAACAAAAGGAAACAACTTAAATACCAGTGAAAGGGAAATTGTTGTAAACTGTAATTTATCTATATGATGTATTATTATGTTATTCTTAAGTGCTGTCGAGTCAGTTCTGACTCACAGCATCCCTTTTTATAGGATTTTCAAGGATTGCCTAGTGGGTTTGAACCATTGGCCTTGTGGTTAGCTGTCTAGGACTATTATACAGTAATTAAAAATGCAGAAGTAAATTTGTTGACATAGAAAAATGTTCACAGTGCTGGAAAACAAAAGTAGGTTCTAAAATTGCATGTGAAGGGTAATCACATTTTTGTTTGCCTGAAAATATATCTTAAGAAAATAAAAATGAAAATATATACACTTCTAGTAATTTATCTCCTGGAGGTGGCTTCACAAGATAAGCAATGGGCTGTGAAACACAAGGTCAGAAGTTCAAGACCACTAGCTGCTCTTCAGGAAAAAAAAATGAGGCTTTCTACTCCCATAAAGATTTTTAAAACCCTGTACAGAGTAACTATGAGTCCAACAACAAACTGATACCCATCATAAATACTGTGAACAAGATTTTAACTGAGGTATTGTTTGGAGTAATAAAAACTGACAACTGACTAAATGTCCAATAACATACTGTTGTTGTCAAGCGCCATCAAGTCAGTTTTGACTCATAGCAATCTTACATAGGGTTTCTGAGGAGTGGCTGGTGGGGCTGAACTGCCAACATGTGGACAGCAGTCCAGTGCTGATCCTACAGCATGACACGAGTAATAAAAAAACTGATAACTGACTAAATATCCAATAACATGGGACTAATTAAATAAATGGGACTACTGTGAGTAAGAAATAAGCCATACACAAGATTGATATGATAGGTTTCTGATATGGAATGATTATATCTTAAGTTTTATAAAAAGAATCCAACAATATGCATATTGGTTATGTAAAAGGCAGAGGAAAAGGAAAAAAAAAAAAAATATATATATATATATATACACAAATATATACATACAAAGGGGCTTCAAACAAAAAGTTAATGGAAAAATTCCATGATCTTTATATTTCATGTGTCCATGGACTTTTGGATGCCCCTCATATATGTATTTGGATGAGCCTTGATAAAGTCTCTGGAGGGGTACAAGGAAACTGCTAACGCTTGTTTTCACAGGACGATCGGTGGATAACACTAGGAAGGAAACTCTTCATTGCATAGCCTTTGTACCTTTAATTTAAGTTTTGCACCATGTAACCATGCTACCCATTCAACATTTTTAACTAAAAATATACATATACAAAATGGTCCTGGTGTGGCGTCATAGAATAAGCACTTGACCTCAAAGTCAGTTTGAACCACACAGTCAGCAGTTCAAACTCACCAGCCGCCCCTCGTAAACCCTATACAGGGTCACTATGAGTCAGAACCGACTTCATAGCACGTAACAGTAACAACAATATGAGAGACTTGGGTTTTGATTCCCAATCTATTTCATGTACAGTCAAAACCTATCTGTCAGGTTTATGCTGCGGAAGGTATTCCTAGAGTGGTACTGTAAGACAATCACTGGCCTGCTAACCACAAGGCTGGTGGTTCAAACCCACCAGTTTCTCCTCAGAAACCCTATGCAGGGTCACTGAGTCAGAACTGACTCCACAGCACTTAACAACAACAACATGATGTGAACAGGTTTCAGACTAACGGGGACTAGGAAGAAAGGCCTGGCAACCCACTTTCAAACACCAGCCAATAAAAACCCTATAGAGCACAATGGTCTACACTGCAACTGATCATGGGGATTGGTATAGAATTGGGCAGTATTTTATCCACTGCACATGGGGTCACCATGAGGGCCAACTTGAGGGCATCAATAATAGTAACAACACATTACATTGTTGTTGTTAGCTGCCAT